TGGAATGCGGTCCAGCGTTTGTAGAGTCGGTCGCGGTACCTCTGTGGTCGAGGTCAGAGTCGTACCTGGGGTCGACCTTATTGCCAATGTTGGAGTTGTGCGAGCCGTAGTTTGTGGCCGTGGTGCCGGTCGTGTTCATGCGTTCGCGGTGGGCATCGGCGTCAGCAGGAGTAACACCGGCGTCGGCAGGGTGGCCTCGGTAGCCTCGATCCCACTCGTCGACTCCCTTGTTGGCAATCTCCTGGTTCTTGGTTGCGCTCGCTTTGTCGCCGCTCGCTTCATCGACCATGGACATGGCATTGCCTCGGATGGCCTCGCCAGTGCCCTGCATCTTATTAGCATGAGTTCGATGTCGAGGTAACTCGAGAGATTGGAGTAAAGCGACGAGGTTGAGCTAGGCGCATGCATCGCAGTGATAGAGCTAACTTACGTGAACCATGCCCACACCCTTGCGGATAGAGTCGCCGAGAGTCATGTCGGATATGTGGATATTAGGTGTATTATGGATAGCAGTCGAGGAGCTTGTGTAGTTGTGGAGAGACGCGTATAGGTTGGTGTATCAGGGTGTGTATTGAGAGTAATCGTGAACAAGATGCCAGGAGGGGTGCCGGCATAAGTACTCGACGCGGGCAGTAGCTGCCACGCAACCTGCTTCTGGGTTTGTCACGATGTGCATCCTTTGCGCGTAGTTTGGGAAAGCGCATTGCGACATACGCTCGACGATGTGATGTCATGCCCGGGATTTCAAGGACGCGCTGCCGGCAGGGCTGGACTAAGCCGCATTGGGGATCCCACGCGTCGAGCTGGAGCATGACATCCGGCACGTTGCGATGGGCTCCAGAGCTGCATGGCTACGAGGGCACCTCATACAAGGGACACCCCCGAACAGGTCTGAAGCCTACATCGACATTAGGGCATCTACTTTGCAGGTTTCTATGTTTATGTAGGCTGCAGACCTGTTCAGATATTTCCTAGGATGACGTGAAGGTATGTCATAGATGAATGCATCGAAACGAATACGGACACGCAAATCTTTGCACACACAGTTGAATGATGATATCTAGAGATAACATGTCTTTCTCCAGTGTCATTGTCAAGTCGGTCATGCCAACCTACCAACCACACTGATATGCGCAAGCGGTAAGACGCTGTGTATTCGAGCACTTGAAGTACATGAAATGACGAAGTGTTTTCATCCAATTACACAACAGAACTCGACCAGAGCCAGACTCAGCAACCTGAGTAAGGACATGGGGAGTCATACTTCAACCACTCTCCGCTCTCGGCATAGTGTGCTTCAGCATATCATATTGAATATTTCCACTGCGTACTTGCGGTCTTCATTAACAGAACCATCTCGAGGCTGGAACATAGAAGAGGATACCATTGCACCAAAGGGGCAAAATATAAGGATACTAAAATCCTATTCTCTCGAGGAGACATTCGTAACGTTCATGAATATATATGTCCAGGCATGCCCCTTTTCTGTCCTCAACTCCATGATCGCATCATCTCAGGACCGCGGTTATGTCACCGCCGTCCTCTCATGCATCTCCACCAACGCCGTTCCCCAGTGACCGAAGTCATCTCCACTTCCGATTGTCGAGAAGCCTCTTAGGCCTTGCCGGCGGTGTAGAAATCGTCGAGAGCAGTCTTCAAGCGCTGGCTACAAAGTTGAAGATTGGAGGTCAGTATATGTCTCACATGCATTTCGTTTAGACGCTGCTTACCTCATGGTCACTTCTCCAGCCCTTACCTTCGCAAAGTCAGTATATGTTTCATATGCACGTCGTAGAGTCAGAACTTACCCAGACACGAGGATCGTAGAACCGTCCGGACGTTAGCGTATATCATGCAGTCAGTCGTAAAGGGATACGTACTTTCTTATTCGGCTTGCCGCTTCCCTCTGGGTTGCCAACCTGCGACATCAGGTAGTCCTTCTTGTTCAGGACGTAGTCGCGGACACCGGAGAGATAAGCCCATTGCATATCTGTGTCGAGGTTGACCTTGACGACACCGTATGAGATAGCCTGACGGAAGTCGTCGACAGAGCTGCCACTGCCACCGTGGAAAACGAGGAAGACGGGCTTGTCATCCTTGGCATTGGTCTTCTCCTTGACGAACTGCTGGTGCTTCTGGAGTAGCTCAGGGCGGAGCTTGACGTTTCCTGGGGAGTAGACACCGTGGACGTTGCCGAAGCCGGCAGCAATGGAAAAGTATTTGGAGACTTCCGACAGTCTGCGTACGAAGTCAGTGTATGCCTCACATGGACTTCGAACAGTCAAAACTTACGTCTTGTAAATGTCGTAGATGTCCTCTGGCCTAGAAAAGAGTTAATACGGTCATGTAGTGAGATGTGCAGAGGGACGTGGCATACTGGGTGTACAAGCTGTTGTTGTCGACGTCCTCGTTGTTGACACCGTCCTCCTCACCACCAGTGATACCGATTTCCATCTCGAGGAATTGCTTCATGGGAGCAGCACGTTCCAAGTACTTCTTGGTGGTCGCGATGTTCTCCTCCTTGCTCTCTTCCGAGAGATCAATCATGTGGGAGCTGAAAAGAGGGACGCCTACAAAGATACCAAGTCAGTAGTTGTCTCAATGCACTTCGTACAGCCAGAACTTACCATTGGCCTTGAAGAACTTCTCATCCTCATCGAGCATGCCGTCCAACCATGGCAGAAGCTTCTTGGCGCAGTGGTCGGTGTGAAGAACGACTGGGATGCCGTATGCGGGCGCAATGGCGCGGATGTAGTGGGCACCAGCGACGGCTCCCTGGATGGAAGCGCTCTGGTCCTTGTTGTCGACGCCCTTTCCGGCGAAGTATGCGGCACCACCCTGGCTCATCTGCAGGATGATGGGGGACTTGGAGTCGCGGGCGGCCTCGAGAGAAGCGACGACAGTTGAGGAGGAGGTGACGTTGATGGCGGGGATGGCGTAGCCCTCGGCCTGGGCGTGCTTGAAGAGGTTGTAGACATCCTCACCGTAGATGACACCGGTCCTAGAGGGGGAGATGTTAGCTTCAGGTCGCGATCATGCGAGCGGGGTCGATGTAACTTACTTGCCGTTAAGGACCTTAGAAGCCATGTTGGTTGTTGTATCGGGTATGTATTGGGTATGTGTTTGAGTGTTCAATGGAGAGTACAATTCAGTGTCTGAAATTGTAGGAGAGTGTGGTATGGAGAAAGAAGTTTGCGCAATGTTGAGAGCTATCTAGTTAAAGTTCAAACATGGTAGTGGGGTTACCGGACCACAAAAACCACCCCGCTACTGTAATGACCGCAGCAGTGACGCAGCGCGCAGCGTCGCGCCAGCTTCCCTCACCAAAGTCGACCTACCCGCGCTCGAGTAAAAGCAAACATCACCCCACAAAAGTCCCGATATGCTATATCTGATACCATGACCTTTGGTTTGTCAAATTCTTTTCACACCGTGATGGCGCTGCGCTGAATCACCGCACTCCCAACCGTGGGTGATGGCAGTGCGCAGTGACATGCGCCTGGTCTGATACACGATGATGCTTCACGGCCGCGCTCTGAAGTCATGGCGGGGCCGCTTTCGCTCGGCAGCGCGGAAGTAAAGTGGGCTGTCTTTTTCACATTAGCTCGGTGAAGCATCATCGCAGTCCACAGGTGACATGTTGCCCGAGTCTCGCCGCAAAACGCTGTCGCTTTACGCCTCGAATTACCGAGCCAGCCACTTCTTCCATGTTACTCAGCTCCGTCCAGGCATGCACCAGGTCCCACCAATGAAGTCACTCTGATGATGCTGCATTGTACACATGCGCGATATCGTGATCGTGATTGAGGCGTTGTCTGATTTTTCCGATATGCGGAATTCTATGTGACATGGATGGCACAGGTATATCTTTACAGCGAGGCGGAGGAATCCTCGGAAGGTGTGGTCTGGGCCTCCAGATGTCCGAGGTTGGGGTCTGGGGCTCGTAACAGCCAGCTGATGCAGCCTCATGATTCCGATGTCTTCGCTCTGACTCGGATGTTCCTCACCATAGGCTCCTCTACGCCAGGTAACCGTATCTCTGCCTTGAATGTGCCCAGCTGCTTCACACGCGATGTGTCGCCCTCCTCATGCCCTGAGAGGAACTTGACGTCCGCCTCGTTCAGTATCACGCGGGCCGCCTCGTCGTTGTGAGCGAGCGCTCCCCTTATGGTTGCTACCAGATCTGCAGTCGAGACAGATCCGTAGATGGCGTCTACAGATGCCTTCTTGCCCATCGCGGCTGCGGTCAAGATGTCTGCCGCACCAGACGCACCCATGCGGTCTCTTGACTGGCTCTCTTGCTCGATCCGTTGGCGGTAGAAGTCGATCGTGGGTGGTACGAAGGCGTCGAGGAGTTCCATAGATCGTTCAGGCTGTTTATGTTAGTATGCGTAGAAATGGCGGTTCGATATAAACATACGCTGAGCACGTTGATCTCAATCGGCCGCACGTAGTGTTTTGGCTGCTTCGCGAAGTCGTCCTCCTCTTCCTCGACCTCCTCCAGATTCAGTCGTACGCCATATGTGAAGTCACGGGCCATGTCCACGTCCTGCGCCTTGAGCTGCTTCATCTGGGTAGCGGGTACATAGTCGGCGACGCGTGCGGGAAACCATCGGTTGCGCATGAGAGACGGGTTGAGGGGAACATATGAGCCTTGATCGTATTAGCCATATTGACTGATGATGTTTGTGGCCAGTTTGACAACTTCAGCGGCTTGCCAGAGCGCACATGTCAAACTTGTGCAGTAGCTGCATCGTACCTGCGCGACCAAATCTCGGCACATCCTTCAGCAGCTTCACGATAATGTTGCGCTCTGCCTCCTTCGCCTTCTTGGAGATGCTGCGAGTCTGCTGGGACCCCCAGACGTCCAGGTTCTGCCGCGTCACCCTCCGGATGCATGACGTGCACTGCGGGAGCAGCGTGGACGTCCTCAGCGAAGCCATTGCGCGTGTCGTGGTGAGATTGGATTAATCTCAAGAAAAATGCACGACGTCCACCAGATGTGGAGATCCTTGCGGCGGAGGGCGGAAGGTGCGAGTGGCCGGTGCTACTTGCCGTAGGCTCGGCATACTTTGCGCCCGCCTCACAAGCAAACGACAGATGACGGCCAGCGCAATATCCCAAGCTGGCCAGCAGTCAGACCATGGCTTCTGCAGCAGTCGGACACACCCTACGCCATTCCCATAGCATCTTCGCCGTACAACCTTAGCACGACCGAGCACAGCGTTCGCGACACCCTACACGACCCCAGTTTCTCCATCCAATCCCGCGGTAGCGGAAGTGACAAGCGCCGCAAGATGCCTGAGAAGCCCCTCACAATTGCGACCTACGCCGCAGGAGCCTCCCTCGCCGCCATTACCCTCGTCTACGTCTTTGGCCCGACGTACTTCCTCGACGACGACGCAAATGCAGCCAGCGGCAAGAAGAAGGGCGTAGTCGGTCTCAGCAATGCCGCGAACGACTGCTTCATCAATTCGGTGCTGCAGGCGCTCGCCGGCCTACCAGATTTGCGCATATATCTCATAAGAGAGACGCATAGGCGCATGCTCGACGGTCCCGAAGTTTATGATGTGGACCCTGAAAGACTCAACGCCGAGACAGGGACCGCGAGGCCCGCAAAGCTAGAGGGTCTGCAGCGCGGCATCCTCACCCATGGACTGAAGGAGATTCTTGACCGGCTGAACGAGCGACCCATATACAAGAAGACCATATCTCCCCAGCCCTTTATTCGATCGCTCGAGCACGCATTCGGCACCCGCATTAGCCGGCAACAGCAGGACGCGCAAGAGTTTCTCCAGATCGTCACCGAGCGCCTATGCGACGAGTACCATGCCGGCGGAAAGGCCCGGCGACAGGCTACACGGGTGGGCGTCACGATTACAACTGAAGACGGCGCATCGGAAAGGAGGGACATTGAACGTCAGCTCGGCGCAGCACCCCCTGAGGGTTCTGGTAGCCATGGTGTAGAGGAAGAGCCGGAGGACGATGAAGCACCCGCGGATGAGGAGGGCTTCCCGTTCGAGGGCAAGATTGAATCGCAGATTGAGTGCCAGACATGTCACTTCAAGCCGAAGCCTTCCGTATCGACCTTTGTCACCCTGACACTCAACGTACCTCAAGCCTCCTCCACCTCCCTCAACGCCTGTCTCGACGGAATGCTCAAGGTTGAATACATAGACGACTTCAAGTGCGAGCGCTGTCGGCTGGAACATGCGCTGAGGAGCAAAGACCACCAGCTCTCGCGAGCGACCGATTCGGATGCACAGGCTCTGCTGCAGTCAGACATCGCGAAGATCCGACAAGCGTTAGAGGACGATCCCGAGAACCCGCCTGAGGGCGTTGAGCTTCCGGACTCGAGCCAGGCACCCAAGCGTCGCATAGCGCGCCACATGTACATTTCGCAATTCCCCAAGGTTCTTGCGATACATTTGTCGCGCTCGACGTTCGCCATTGGCGCTGCCTCGACGAAGAATTTGGCCAAGGTCGCCTTCCCTGAAGCTTTACCATTAGGCGGAATACTACACCGGAAGAACTACCGTCTTCTTGGAATGGTCACACACAAGGGCAGCCATAATAGCGGTCACTACGAATCCTTTCGTCGTCAAGTCCAGCCTCTTCCGTTCTCCACAAATGCGACACTTGGTACTGAAGGCGCATATAGCCGGCAAGCCAGCCCATACCCGTCAGCAGCACCATCGGTAGCGCCTTCAGCCGTACAAAGCCCGCGTATATCAGCACTTCATCTTCCCAACACCATCGACCGCGGGTCACCAGTCCCGTCCACACCCACACTAAACTCCCCCTCAACACGGTCGCTGTCCTCACAAGAGACCATGCCTGCGTCCTCAAGAGGGCCAGCACCAACTTCTGCACCGCGCATGTCCGAGTCTGATCCACTACAAATGGCATTCTCTTCCACCGGAACAGGCACCGGCAGCGATTCCTTATCACGCACGAGGAGCGTGCGATCGCTGAAAGAGCGCGCATCAGAGAAGGCCTCATCGATAAAAGAGTCGAATCCCTTACGACGCAAATCGAAGAAGACAAGCAATAGGTGGTGGCGTATAAGCGACGACAAGATCAAGGAGAGCAAGACATCTGAGGTCTTGAACATGCAGAAGGATGTGTATTTACTATTTTACGAGCTGAACAAAGTCTGAGCCAGGTCTGGTTGGCTAATGTATAAAGGAACGACAGGCATGCGGCACTGCAATTCGGAGCGATACCAGTAGTGGTGATGCAGCAGAAAAGCCTGGATTAGATATCACTCGCTATGAAAGCGAGACACGAATGAAGAACGTGTTACATAATGTAATTGACGCAAGCTGTAACCTTAATCATCGTTTCCCTACACTCATATCTATGCGCACTTCCCCAAACCACTCACGTTGGCCATGCGTCGTGAATGCTACCTCTGTCTCGTGGCTTTATCAGCGATGATATCATTGGTCAGACCCCACGTGGCGCTCCTTCCCCAACGATAACCACCAATGGCCAGGCTGCCCAGCCTGCAATGCAACGACATCGATGCTACGCTTGTAGTTTGACACCACACTCCCCCTCATCTGTGCTGACCGGGCACCTGGAAAGGGAATCGCAACACACATCTGCTCATCCTTGGGCCTTTCGGATCACCCAAAACGCGCCCATCCACCACGGGTAGACCAAGACTAGCAGGCACAAAAGTACGAGACAGTTGGGTCGATTCTAGCACCAAACTGCTTTTCATTAGGCTCCTCAATTTGCATCAAGATTTCGAGGAACAACAGTCATAGCGACTTGCTTGTGTACTGCACCAATCGCTAGTATTGCTTCAAATCGTTCCTTCCTCATCACACTCCAAGCTTCAACCGATATAAGCGACATGCCAAGCCTCGAAGCAGACGAGAGCGCCTTCCTTCAGGCCGTAGGGAAGCAGACTTTCACCAGCCCACCCCGCGTTCTCATCATCGGCGCAGGCAGTCGCGGTACAGCCTATGCCGAAGCCGCACAATCCTCAACAAACTCTATCGTCTCAGCAGTATGCGAGCCCAATGACTACAAGCGCGCCGATTTCGGTCGAAAGTTCGTCTGGGGCGATGGGAGTAAAGCCCGGGATCACCAAGCATTCCGCGGTTGGAAAGAATGGAAAGAGTACGAGATCAAGAGAAGAGAGCGAGAAAGCGCTGGTCATGAGGTTGAGAAGGGCATCAATGCAGCGTTCGTATGCGTGCTCGATGAGATGCATGAAGAAGTCGTCTGCGGTATCGCAGATATGGGTGTGCATATCTCGTGCGAGAAACCGATGAGTACTAGATTGGACAGCTGCATGAGGATGTACAGGGCACTCAAACCACCGGTCAGTACAGGCGAGGCAAAAGAGACGATCTTCGGCATTTGCCATGTGTTGCGGTACTCGCCGCACAACATGTTGCTGAGACATCTGGTACTGGAGAAGGATGTCATCGGTGATGTGTTGAGTATTGAGCATGTTGAACCTGTTGGTTGGTGGCATTTCAGCCACTCCTACGTCAGGTATAGGATTCTTCTCTGTTTCCATTGAACTTCGATGCTAACGAACGCAGGGGTAACTGGAGGAAAGAATCCAAGACTGCGCCATCTCTTCTCACAAAGTCTTGCCATGACATCGATTTCCTCATGTGGATGCTTTGCTCATCTGGCCCGAACGCCGAGAACACGACACCCCATCTTCCCTCACATATCACATCTACGGGGTCTCGCACATTCTTCCGTAAAGAGCGCAAACCAAAGGCAGCGGGCTCAGCCACAAATTGTCTGTCCTGTGCATACGAGCCACAATGTGACTACAGTGCGAAGAAGATCTATCTCGAGAGACACCTGAACAACGGCAACGCAGATTGGCCAGTCAAGATTGTGAACCCTGAAATCGAAGACATCTACAAGACTTCCGGTAAAGAGGCATCTGGGAAGCAGCTTCTCAAAGACCTGGCTGAAGACTACAGCAACGACACACCAATTGGTGAAGTTGAACAACGCCCATGGTTTGGGCGATGCGTCTGGGAGTCGGATAACGACGTCTGTGATGACCAGATGGTGACTATTACTTGGGATGATGATCCAGTCGCAAAGGACGATGATGGTATGCCCTTGTTGCATGGTCGAGGCGCAAAGACTGCGCAGTTCCACATGGTTGCCTTTACAGAGAAGCAGTGCGAACGGCGGGGTCGCATCTACGGCACAAAGGGTGAGATTGAGTACGACAGCACCAACATCAAAGTACATAACTTCTCAACCGGGCAGACCAAAACTCACAGCCCTCATCTCGCAGGCGGCGGTCACGGGGGCGGAGACGAGGGGCTTGCGCGACAATTCCTCATGGCGGTTAACGCTGTAGACTCTTGCGCCATGCCCGCGTCAGACGCCCAGCGGAGGTATCTCGGATGCGACCTTGAGGAAGCGTTCCGGAGCCATGCCATGGTCTTCGCGGCCGAAGACGCTCGAACGAAGCGCCAGGTGGTCGACTGGAAGAAGTGGTGGACCGAGTCGGTGGAGTCGCAATTACACGAGCGGTAACTACCTGGCATGATGACAGTTCAGGCGGGCAAGGAGAATGCGACGGGTAGTTTCTTTTCGGTCGCCGAAGATGACGGCAAATGTACGTAGGCGCCTAAAACAAAGCATGACCATCATGACATCGGATGAGGCTCTTGCGAAGCTTATGAAACTGAAATGAGGGCTGCCAAACCTCGCGCCAATCCGCTGTCAGCGCTCGATGAAGCAATACTAGCCCCAGGCTCGTTTGACAGTTAAGCTCCGCTTTCAGGCAATTAACGGCCATTTTCCAGCCGGTTTCGGCTCGTCTGGGCTATATTTGGTGATCATGCTCAAGGCTAATACTTCCGCTTAGGGGTGGATATGGGCGCTTAATAGACCATGAGGCTCAAGAGACGATGGGTAGGGCTGGAAATTTTCTCCACGAGAGCGTTTCCGGGTGCAACGTTTGATAGTATGGGCGCTTGGATTGGCAGACGGGTTGGGGCCAGTCAGATTGCACGGTCTGTGGTACATTGGACGAGAACGACACTCGCGCTGTCTTCGGGAGCGTCCGAACGTCAGTTTGCGCTGCTTCGTAGGTCATGCTCAAGACGCCGCTGGGGGCTGTGCACAGAGTCGAAGTCGCATGGCATGACGGATGCCAGCGCAGCAGGTGGGCGAGGCCCGAGACCCGGAAGAAACTTGCTTGACAACAACGCGGTGAACGCGTCGACGTGTGGGCGGTCTAGGAAGCGTGTTATAGTCGTGAATTGACTCTCTCCGCCCATTGTGAGTCACTCGTTCGTGCATGGCGGGCATGCGGGAAGACGCATATCGCTCCGCAGAAACGAAACGCTGGAGCGTCGTGGTCCAATCAAGCCCCTCTCGTCCATCGATGACTCTTAACGGGCTGCAGCTGCCCCACGCAGCGCGGGACCCAGCACGGACGACACGGCAGGCGCTAAGCGGACAACACCACGCCCGTCCATTCGTCCCTTCGCGCTGCCAACGTCAAACTGCCGCCCCAGCGCCCATCGAGAAAAGTCCCTCAGTGTACTACGACACTAGAACTCTGCTATGCGGCGCCGAGGCTGCCGGTTTCAGGTTATCCAACCGCCCCATGTGCAGGCGCGTCGCTGGCCCGCTTACCGCTTCGGTATACCACTTCATCGCGCCAGCCATTGACAGCGCAGCATTCCAGGCCGCCATACTACATCGAGTATGCAACGCTGCAAGAATAGCAGACCCAGAGTCGTTCGCTAGCCACGTACTCGCCCAAGCCAAGCAGCAGCCACGCTATGTTTCAGACGCCTTGTGAGGCTCGAATGCTGTAGAAGGATGCTCTGATACTGCCGCCAGACCGCCAGAACGTAGTCTACCGGTCCAAGTCCCCGGGTGCTGGCCCTTCGATGGATCGTGTTTCAGATGTTTTAGCGCGAAGTGGGCGTTGGTTCTCGTGTCTCTACGCGGGGAACAGTAAGGATAAGAAGTCTGTCTGCGCCGCAATCAGCCAGTCCATCAGCTTCTTCAAGCACTTCATTTAGAGCACTGCCCGACGAGTCGATCGTGTCTCATTTCCTTTCTTTCTCCATCTTTTGCGCTTTTGTCTTAGACACCTAGAGCTGGCCTCTTCTATTAATCGCTATTCGATAATCTCTTCCTGTTACTATTCTCAGTCTCCACAGCGTAAGTCACTGCTTCTATTCTCGAATCGAATCATTGGTGCTGATTGGAAGTAGTCTGGTAGCTTCACATCTTTCATCATGTACAGCCGTCAAACAACACCCCCGACTGCTCCCTTCAACTACATCCCGGGCAGCGTCGGCTCGGACGTCACATACTACTCCCAGGCCTCATCGCCAGAACCTCACATCTCTGGCCCTACTCCCCCACGGTCACCTGTTCGCCAATATGGACCTATTCTCCTCCCCAAGGTCCGCATGCAAGATCAGGTTGCCGAGCCCACCAGTGGCCCCATCAGACATCGCAGGACGACGTCTACTTCTTCCAGCATCGGCTATGCCTATAGCCCATACTCACGACCAGCCTCGATGGCGCGCCGTGGATCCAGTCCTTTCAACCACAACATGCACAACGTTCACAGCCAGTTGACTTCTCCTGTGTCAACTGCTTCCTCATACGACTTCAACCTCTCTACCCTCAACTCTCCCATCACATTCGCACAGCAGCCTGAGCTTCCTCGTCGATCTTCATACATTGGATCGCAATCTCGCTCCACTTCAGCTAGCCGAGCCCGCCATGATCGCTCCGCCTCTGCTGGAAGTGTTGATGAGCAGGTCATCAGCCGGTATGGCTTCCCCACCTACCGCAACATGCCCAGCTACGTCACTGCTTCAAGTGCGCCTCAATCTAACTTGAGCCTTGTCACTTCCCTTCCTTCTTCCTACTCCTCGGTTCAGGACATGCCCAGCTTCACCTCCACCTGCTCGCAAGACTTCACTATCCCGGAGTTCGAGGCCGCGCCAGCTGTGCAGTACCCCTCCTTCACCGATGTCAGCTTCGACAGCTTCCAGCAAGTCCCTGCTACGTCGTCTTTGGTTGAGTATCTCTCTTCTACCAACCCCTCCCCATCTCTTGTTCGTCGCGTCACTAGCGCACCCCGCGGCATCAACAACCACTTCTGGTGGGACATCCGCAACCTCCG